TCCCCGAGCCTCAGGGTTCCCGCCCGGGCCACACCCACCTCCCTGCCCCTTTGAGGTCTCCGACCGGGGCAAGGGGTCTTGTGCAAGTCATGTTTGTAGGTCCCCAGTGACAAGACACATGGGAGCTGCTCATTACATAGTAATACGATTCAGCCATTTTTGGAAGAAAGCAATACTCTGCATGTAAATTCTCCAATTTTCAGGTCATATGATCCATGCTTAAAGCATAGTCAATGTATATGTATTTAGCAAGGTATATGTCCTGGAGATGAAAATAAAAGCTACCATACACAGCGCTTGTTATATACTAGTCAATGAACTAAACCCTTAATAAGAATGTCTTTAATCTTAAACTTAAGTGTTATTACCACCCTTACAGTGATCTACACATTCAGTGCAATCCCTGGCAAAATCCCACTGACTTTTTTTTTTTGTGGAAATAGAAAAGCCAATCCTAAAATTCATATGGAATCTAAAGGGACACCTTCCCTGGGCCTCTTACTTGTTTTGCAGCAAGTAGGTGCAAGTAGGTTAATGTGGCATATTAAATTTATTGATTTGTGTGTGTTAAACCATCCTTGCATTCCAGGAATAAATTCCATTTGGTCATAGTGCATTACCCTGTTAATAAGATATTCAAGTTGTTTCCCTACCATTTGGTTGAGAATTTTTGCATTAATGTTAATAAGTGATTTGGGGGTGTGGTTTTCTTATAATGTCTTTGTCTGGCTTCGTATTAGGGTAATGCTAGCCTCAAAATGAGTTAGGAAATTTTCCCTTCTCTTTAATTTTTTTGGAAAAGGTTGAAAAGAATTGCTGTTAGTTCTTTAAATGTTTGGTAGAATTTGTCAGTGAAGCAATTATGTCCAGAGCTTTTCTTTGGTGGTAGATTTTATTTTTTATTTATCTTTAGAGACTTGCTAAAATGGCTCATGCCTGTAAGCCCAGCACTTTGGGAGGCCGAGGCAGGCAGATCACCTGAGGTCAGGAGTTCGAGACCAGCCTGACCCACATGGAGAAACCCCATCTCTACTACAAATGCAAAAAATTAGCTGGGTGTGGTGGCACATGCCTGTAATTCCCAGCCACTTGGGAGGCTGAGGTAGGAGAATCACTTGAACCTGGGAGGCAGAGGTTGCGGTGAGCCAAGATTCTGCCATCGCACTCTAGCCTTTGCAACAAGAGTGAAACTCCATCTAAAACAAAAGAAAGAAAGAAAGAAAATAACTACAGTTACAAACCATTGTTACAATACAAGGTTTTATAATTACCTGATTATTTATCTTTATTGAGATCTTTATTTCTTCATATAGCTTCTACTTACTGTCTAGTGTTCTTTTATTTCTTCTTTTTTAAAATTTATTTTTGTCTTGTTTTTCTGAGAAAATCTCGCTGTATCACCCAGTCTGGAGTGCAGTGGCTCAATCTTGGCTCACTGCAACCTCCACCCCCAGGGTTCAAGCGATTCTTGTGCCTCAGCCTCCCGAGTAGCTGGAATTACAGGCATATGCCACCACACCTGGCTAATTTTTGTATTTGTAGTAGAGATGGGGTTTCACCATATTGGCCAGGCTGTTCTTGAACTCCTGACCTCAAGTGATTCACCTGCCTTGGCCTCCCAAAGTGCTGGGAATACAAACATAAGCCACAGTGACTAGCCTAGTGTTCTTTTATTTCAGCCTGTGAAACTCCCTTGAGCCTTTCTTTCAGGGCTTGTCTAGTGGTAATAAACTTCTTTGACTTTTGTTTATCTTGAAATGTCTGAATTTGTCCCTAATTTTTGAAGGACAGTCTTGCTCGATATAGGACATATGATTGATGGTTTTTCCTTTTAGCAATTTGAATATATCAGTCATATGCCTTCTGACCTATAAAGTCTCTGATGAGAAATCTACACATAATCTAATTATGGATCCCTTATCAGATGATTTGCTTCTCTCTTGCTGCTTTAAAGATACCCTCTTTGTCTTTGTCTTTCAAAAGTTTGACTATAATGTGTCTTGTTGTGAATCTCTTTTGAGTTCATCTTAATTGGAATTTGTTGAACTTCTTGGATTTTTATATTCACACATTTCATCAAATTTGAGAAGTTTGGGCCATTATTTATTTAAATAGTCTCTGTGCCCCTTTCTGTTTCTTTCCTCATTCCTGGACTCCCACAATGCATAAATTGGTTCACTTGATGATGTCCCATTGGTCCCTTAGGCTCTCTTCACTTTTCCTTCTCTTTTAATTTAATTTTTTGTTGTTATTGTTGTTGTTAGAAATGAAGTCTCACTACGTTGCCTCAAGCAGTCCTCCTGCCTCCTGAGTAAGTGGAATTACAGTGTATTACAGGGATAGATCATGGGCAATTGCATGGAGATAGTCCATAAGAGCTGGCCAATTTTATGATTATTTGAAGACTTGCATCAGGATAAATAGTTGCTTTTTTCCCCTTTTAGAACATGGTTCTTCTTAGAGAATATGTTCACATTCATTTTCTATGAAGTGCCACTCTTTCTGAAATTCTTTTATGATTCAGTATACACCAACAGCATTCTCTATTACGTTTTCCCATCTTCTGTGCCATGTTTCTTTGTTGTTTGAGGTATGCAGAAATCCATCTCACATGCACTGATATACAGACCACAGATTTAGTGGAGACAGTATCACTGAACAGCAACACTATTGCATAAGTGTCTTTACTGTTGTTGCTGTAGACAGGGATCTCACTATGTTGCCCAGACTTGTCTGAAACTCCTGACCTCCGGTGTTCCTCCTACCTTGGTCGCCCAAAGCAATGGAATTACATGAGCCACCATGCCTGGTCACATAAGCGTCTTTTTAAACTTCCATACACATAATTATTTTTGAACCAGTGAGAAACTTCTCTGGCTTCTTCAGGCAAATTAAGCTTTAATTAATTAAAAAGAAAAAAAAAAAGCTTCTGGAGTGTCAGATAGAAAGAATACCAATGCAGGAAAATGACATGGTTTTGTTGTTGTTGTTGTTGTTGTTTGGGTTTTTGTTGTTGTTGTTGTTTGTTTGTTTCCTTTTTGAGATGGAGTCTCACTCTGTTGCCCAGGCTGGAGTGCAATGGCATGATCTTGGCTTACTTCAGTCTCTGCCTCCCAGGTTCAAGTGATTCTCCTGCCTCAGCTGGGATTATAGACGCGTACCACCACAACTGGCTAATTTTTGTGTTTTCAGTAGAGACAGGATTTCACCATGTTGACCAGGCTGATCTTGAACTCCTGACCTCAGGTTATCTGCCTGCCTCGGCCTCCCATGTGCTGGCATCACAGATGTCACTTTTGGCTGGTTATGGTGGCTTCCATCTGTAATCCCAGTACTTTGGGAGGCTGAGGCAGGAGGATTGTTTGAGGCCAGGAGTTTGAGGCCAGCAAAATAGGGAGCCACCATGCCTGGCCTTTTTTTTTTGAGACAGAGTCTCACTCTGTTGCCCAGGCTGGAGTACAGTGGCACAATCTCAGCTCACTGCAACCTCTGTCTCCCAGGTTCAAGTGGTTCTCATGCTTCAGCCTCCTGAGTAGCTGGTACTACAAGCACACACTACCATTCCTGGCTAATTTTTGTATTTTAAATAGAGATGAGGTTTTGCCATGTTGGCTAGGCTGGTCTTGAACTCCTGACCTCAATTGATCTGCCTACCTCGACATCCCAAAGTGCTGGGATTACAGGCATGAGCCACAGCATCTGGCCCTCTTTTTGTATTTCTTAAAAAGGTATTCAATTAGACATTAATTTTAGCTATGTTAAGGCTGGAGTGCAGGGGCATGATCACAGCTCGTTCCAGCTTTGAATTCCTGGACTCAAGCAGTCCTCCTACCTCAGCCTCCCAAAGTGCTGGGATTATAGGCATGAACCCTTTTACTTACCCTTTAGGGTAAAAGAAAAGAAATTGTCCAGGCACAACCAGTGACCTTAGAGTCAGCAAGCAAGTAGTCTAAAAATGTTAAGATATAATTTTGTGCTGAAACCAATTGAGTCAGGTTTCTCTCACTTGCAATTGAAAGAGTTTTGAATGATTCACATATTTGCCATGTTAGATATATAACAACATGATTTATTTTCTCACCAAGAAGACCCAGGGATCAATATTTCCACTGAAGCAACTATTAGTCAAGGCTCTTTTGAAAATAACAATGAACTAAAATCCAAATCAAACTGTTTTAAGGGAAACAAAAGGAATTTATTGGCTCACATATGTGAAATGTCCAGGGGTGAAGCTTCAGGAATGACTGTATCTAGGTGCTGAAATTACACAGTCAGCACTTTCTCCCTCTCTCAGCTTCACCTTCCTTTGTATTGATTTATTTTCATGTAGGTTCTCTCATGGTGGTGGCAAAGATGGACACTAGAAGGCATAGATGGCCACCAGTTTAGCAGCCTCCACTGAAAGAAATCTTAGTTCCAAAAAACTTCCATGTGTTATACTCATTGACTCAGCAAGCATCATGCAGCTCTGAAGAAAGAAAAAATCCCTGTGGTCAGAGAGATGCAGTGCTCTTTATAGCGGCAGCAGGCAGACAAATGCCTAGGCAGATAGGGGCAGGTCCCTGGAGAAACCCCACCTTCATGCTGAAGACAGTTTAAAACCTGAAAGCCAAGCTACAGGTCAAATCCATGGACCAGATTGAGAATCCGTCTTCCCATTTGACATGCTTTCCTCTGATTGATTCCCCACCCTTCACCTATTTTACATATACCTACCCTTTCCTAATTGGTTTTCTACACTGCCATACCCACCTTTGAGGGGTGCCTTTGCTTTAGCCTTTCTTTGCATACTCACAAGCCAATCAGCATGCACTTACTTCCCTATTCTGAGCACATAAAAGCCCCAGACTCAGCCACACTGAGAGCGAAACCAACTGACAGGGTGGGGGGGTGTGCGGGAGACCACCTCTGCATCCCCTTTCCACTGAGAGCTATTCCATTGCTCAATAAAGTTCTTCTCCACCCTCCTCACCCTTCAATTGTCAGTGTATCCTCATTCTTCTTGGACATGGGACAGGAGCTTAGGAACCGCTGAATGCGTGTACATGCTATAACACAGGAGAGCTGGGACACACCTGGCCCAGACATAGGCTGAGTCAATGCACAAGCTAGACTTGGCCCAGGCAGACCGAGTAGGCAGGGCACCTCCTGCAGCAGGTAGCATGCCTGAGCAAGGCCCAGGTGGCGGTTGCACCAGCTGGAGGACCCTGGCTGGCAAAATGACTGAGAAAAATCCTGCATCACTCTGGCCAAGCCTAGGTTACATGCCTGCCATAATTACCAGGGGTGGAATCAGCTTTATCCCAGTCATGTAGACTGACAGTGGGGAAGGGGTAGTTCTGGAAACCAAAATCAATGTGCTATTACTTAAACACAGAGAGAAAGAGACAGAGAGACAGAGACAGAGAGACAGAGAGAAAGAGAGGGGATGCTGGGTAGGGAAAGTAACAAATGTGCAGTTCAATAATCTGACAGCCTCCCCCAGTACCAGCTCCTGGGCTGCATTCTAGTCATCTCTTCTTGATAATTATGTTCACCTAAAAGAAAGAAGCTGAGGCAAAATTAATATAAGTAGAGAGTTTATTTGGGCCAGGCTTGAGGATTGCAGCCTGGGAGCATAGATTCAAGTTGTCCTGAATATGCACTCTGATTAGCAGCACTTAAAAGTGGAAATTTTTTTTTTTTTTTTTTTTTTAATTTTTTTTTTTTTTTTTTTTTTTTTGAGACAAGGTCTTGCTCTGTTGTCCAGGCTGGAGTGCAATGGTGTGATCATGGCTCACTGCAGTCTCAAACCTCCTGGGCTCAAGCGATTCTCCTGCCTCAGTCTCCCATGTAGCTGGGACCATAGGTGTGTGCCACCATGCCTGGCTAATTTTTTAATATTTTGTAGAGATGGAGTCTCCCTATTTTGCTGGCCTCAAACTATCCTCCTGCTTCAGCCTGGGATTACAGGTGGAATCCACCATAACCAGCCATAAGAGGATTTTTGAAAGTAAAAAGGTGGGGGCAGGTGGTAGGCTGATACAAAGTTGTCAGGAATTCTCACTGGCTTACAAAATTAACATTGATTAGTGATTAGCTATACACGGTTAAACTATAAGGTATGGGTTATAGTGTCCTGTGACATTGTTAGGTTAATTTATTGCTACTTGTTGCAAGAGCAAGTAGTTTCTTTCTTTCTTTCTTTTTTTTTTTTTGAGATGGAGTCTTGCTCTGTCCCCCATGCTGGGGTGCAGTGGTGTGATCTCGGCTCACTGCAAGCTCCGCCTCCGGGATTCACGCCATTCTCCTGCCTCAGCCTCCCAAGTAGCTGGGACTACAGGCGCCCACCACCATGCCTGGCTAATTCCTTTTTGTATTTTTTAGTAGAGACTGGGTTTCACTGTGTTAACCAGGATGGTCTCCATCTCCTAACCACGTGATCCACCCACCTCAGCCTCCCAAAGTGTTGGGATTACAGGCGTGAGCCACTGCTCCCAGCCAATAGCAAGTAGTTTCAAGAGATGAATACATAGTTCAAGGGGAAAGTGGAATGTGATTTGTGTTTCACTTCATGTCTGTCTTAGCCTCACAATTTAAAAGAATTGGCATTCCCAATATAAGATTTTTTTTTCTTTTCCCAATTTGTGTCTTAGAGCTTATAAAGCAGTGAAAATTCGTTTTACTTTTTATATCCACCTGTTTATGTGAATTCAGGTTCATTACATATTTTGACACCAGACTGAGAAATTTTTTGACGGTGGGATGTGGTGGCTCATGCCTGTAATCCCAGCAATTTTGGGAGGCTGAGGTGGGAGGATTGCTTGAGCCCATGAGGTCAAGTGTGCAGTGGGCCATGATCATGCCACTGCATTCCAGCCTGGTGACAGAGTGAAACTGTTGGAAAAAAACAAACAAAACAAAAAAACAAAAAAAAGAAAAAGAAATGCATTACTCACATTTTGAAACTTTTGGGGAGAGCAGATCAGGTGCCTAAGCCAGTCCAAAAATGGCTTTGACAAAGCAAAAGCAAGTGGCCCTGGGATTACTGCAGTTAGGGGTGGAACCTGGGTGAGCATTCCTGCACAAGGACTCAGGCTTTGTGTGGCTTGAACTTCCCCCTACAGTGCCAAGAGAAGGAGTGCATGCGCTTTCTATTGGCTCACTTACCTGTGGGTAAGAGGGAATCGTGGAAGTGGAGCTTGAAAGTTTTCAGTCGTAGAACACCAAAAATGCAGTCAGGTTCTTTATAATATGGGGTCACATCTTAAATCCCGCCCAGTTTTCTGATACCAAGAGATTCAATGCAATAATATACCATCCATTAACCAATGGATGGTTATGGAATTCTTTCCCTGGTGATTATAACTTTAAAGCGTTTTTTTAACCCATCATCCTTTAGTTTATGCCTGTTTAATCTGGTAGGATGTGCAGGCACAGTCCATTTCCAGAGAGAGACAGTAAAGTGATTGTTAGCCAACCATAAACACATACGGAGGCACCCTTCACTTCGTACTGTGGCACCTAGCCCACACAAGTGAGGAACGCTTCTGTTTGTACTCTCTCGCTGTCGTATTATCCTGTCCATGAGCCCCTCGGTTTGCTTTTTATTTTGTTCTTCTGCCCCTCCTAAGATACCAGATTCATTCTTGAGACCAGCCAGGCAGCCTTGGTGTTGACCCACTAGCGGTGGGGCAGCTGCACCTGATCCTTAGCCTGTGTTACTGGACAGGTGTCAAATCTTTCAAGTAAAAACAAAATCCTAAACCCTGGCTGGGCCTGGTGCCTCATGCCTATAAGGCTAGCAATTTGAAAGGTTGAAGTGAAAGGATCTCTTGAGCCCAGGAGTTGGAGACCAGCCTAGGCAACATAGTGAGACCTTATCTCTACTAAAAATTTTTTTTTTAATTAGCTGGGTATTAACTTTGAAATTTACTGCTTTTGGTCAAAATCCACTCTTCAGCTAATGCTTTCTTCCAGCTGGTTGTCTTCTTGCCTGCTCTGTGTTGTAAAATGAGGGTCCCTTACTGCATTATCAAGCGGAAGGCAAGACTGGGACGTCTAGTCCACCGGAAGACCTGCTCCACTGTCGCCTTCACATAGGTGAACTCGGAAGACAAAGGCGCTTTGGCTAAGCTGGTGGACGCTATCAGGACCAATTACAATGACAAAGACGATGAGATCCGCTATCACTGGGGCGGCAATGTCCTGGGTCCCAAGTCTGTGGCTCGCATCGCCAAGCTTGAAAAGGCAAAGGCTAAAGAACTTGCCACTAAACTGGGTTAAATGTACACTGTTGAGTTTTTTGTACATAAAAATAATTAAAATAATACAAATTTTACTTCAAAAAAAAACTAGCTGGGTATGGTGGTGCACGCCTCTAGTCCCTGCTTCTTCTGAGGCTGAGGTGGGAAGATCACTTGAGCCCAGGAGGTTTGAGGCTGCAGTGAGCCATGATCACACCACTGCACTACAGCCTGGACAACAGAGTGAGACCTTGTCTAAAAAAAAAAAAAAAATAATAATCCCAACCCCCTTCAAGTAACTGAACAGACCCCACATTGGCCAAGTGGACCCCAGAGTAACTTTGAAAACTAAGTTCTTGGCTGGGCATGGTGACTCACACCTGGAATTCCAGCATTTTCAGAGGCCAAGGCAGGAGGATCTCTTGAGGCCAGGAATTCAAGACCAGCCTGGGAAACACAGTGAGACCTCATCTTTACAAAAAAAATTTAAAAATTAGCTGGGCTGACCGGGTGTGGTGGCTCACACCTGTAATCTCAGCACTTTGGGAGGCTGAGGAGGGTGGATCACGACGTCAAGAGATCGAGACCATCCTGGCCAACACGGTGAAACCCCATCTT